ACAAAGGATGTAGCCTGGTTGCAAATAAGTTAGGCTGATGATTCACCATCCAGATAATTGAATCTTGTATGAATTTTCTCCATTTTCTTCCATTTCCTTCTATGGTTCTTCCTCCATCCCTCCCCCCTATAAAGAGTAGTAGTGTTTTAGAGGTCCACTGTATGATAGGAATGTCAGCTGATATTTTTCCTGGCTTGCCCAGAAAATCTGTGTAGCCTAAAGTTAATTCCAAGTATATAAATGTTTACTCTTCCAAAAGCTGTATAATGCTATGGTATTTAGGCATTTTCCTAATGTTATAATCAGATGATTATAATTTATAAGAAAGGCAAACAGGATGGTACAGAAATACTAAATAAAACTAGCATATTTTCAGAAGGAATTCTTTTTAATATACACATATGAGATATAATTGACAGTTTTGCTTGAAGACTGACTTGAGAAAAAAAGAACGAACTTAGTGATTTTCTTTTGCCAAAGTCAACAGAAGAGGTAAGGTAAGATAACAAGGTTGACAGAGTAGCTATTTTAAGTGTGCTGTCTCTCTAAGGTACATATTAGAGAGATGACAAATGGACATATATTAGTGTTCCATCAGCCACTGCAACATGTATAAGAGTGATGACATATATCACTGGTGACTCTGAAGTCCAGAATTTAAAGCGTATGCCCATGGGCAGAAGTAGTCTCTCAATCTCTCACTTGGAGACTTCAGAAGGGAGGGAATGACACACCATCCTAACAGTCAACTGCTGACAGGCTCCACTGAGAGATCAAGGCTTTTCTATAATGGCAAGAAATCTGAATGGATGTGACAAAAGTCCAAATCCTGAACTTACTAAGCTATAGGACCTCACACAATTCATTGTCTATCTGAATCTATTTTCTCTTGAGAAAAATAAAGACATAATCCCCAGACCTGTTAGTCATGCTGTGGCTGGTTTTTTCTGTGTAAACTTGTGAAACTAAGTAAATATCAGATTTTGTTACCACTTCTATTATGATTTTCACCTCACCAATAATGGAAACACATGTGACTAAAAACAAATGGGCATACAGTAAAGATAATTATATCTTTAATAAAGTTTAATAAAGGCAGGAATTACAACACTACTTTATTATTCTCTCCATTTTGTCCACCCAAGGAAGTGTTCTTAGATAATTCATTGGTGACAACTTTAATATATTTTAGTAGAGGAGGAAAGTCCTTGTAGCTGTGTACTTACTGTAATTGTAGCCTATTAATCTCACTTCATGAAATACATTCCTCCCTCTATCAATATCCATCCATCCATGTTTCTCCCTCCTTCCTTCCTTCCTTCCTTCCTTCCCTCCCTCCTTCCTTCCCTCTCTCCTTCCTTCCTTCCTTCCTTCCTTCCTTCCTTCCTTCCTTCCTTCCTTCCTTCCTTCCTTCCCTTCCTTCTTCTCCCTCCCTTTCTTAAGAATCTTACCTATTTCCTATCTATCTATCTATCTATCTATCTATCTATCTATCTATCTATCTATCTATCTATCTATCCATCTATCCATCTATCTATCTATCTATCTATCTCTATCTATCTACCTATCTATCTGTCTGTCTGTCTGTCTGTCTATGTTTAAAATAAGTTCCATAAGTGGCAGATATCTTCACATGTCACCTTGTACTACACCATGTAGCTCCTAAAAGGAAGACTATTTTCCCATAAAACCACAATACAATTGATATACTCAAGAACTTAACATAAATTTTCTAATATATAGTTCATGCTAAAATTATATAAAATTCCCAAATCCCTTATTATTCTCCCCCAATTCAATGATTCACAATGGATGTGATACTCAAATTCAGACTGATTTGAATGAAGTGGTCCTTTAATCTCTTTAGCTAGAACAATGTTCTATTATACTGAAAATGTTGAAGACTGGCCTATTATCTGGATTTTTTTTCTTTTTCTTCCTAATAGACGATAGTTAATATCTTGGCAAAATTGTTCTATAAGTGCTGTTGTTAACTTCTCACCTCACATCATGAGGTACCTTTCAGTTTTGTCCCATCATCACCAATGGTAAATTTCATCACTTCGATTCAGTTGGTTCCAAATAAGTTTCTCCAACCTTCTGGTGCTTTTTCTATACTCGTATGGTAATATTGTGAAATCCCTCCCAATACTATTAGGCATACCATAATTGCAATTGCATTTCAAATATCAATAAAACTATGAGTGGTGAAGTTCCAAAAAGAAAAAAAAGTTTATTATGACTCCATTTAAGGTTTAGAAAAAAAAAACAGCAGAGCAAGAAAGCAACAGGACCCCAAGGGACCCCATATCTTCTGACACTGGGTTCCTCCTTACATTCTAGGGTAGTGGGATCTTTGATGTGAAAGCACTTACTAAAGGTGATTCCCTACCGCAAATTGGGGCCCACTGTTTGAATGAAAATTCTAGTAGCAAATAGGGAAATAATGGAGAAAACATATAGATGATGGGAGGTTAGTTGATGCTGGGAATGCCATTGTAAGAAAGAAAAAAAAATCCTTCACAGTGGTGTTGGCAATGTCACTTCTGGCCCAGAATAGACATAAGGTAACATTCTGATAGAGAGCAAGAGAAGACCCTCTTCTAGTTCTACTGAGCCAGGTTCTCCTAATGCAAATGCAATGCTATGTAAATATCTTTCTCTTATGTTTATCGCTCCTGTCTTCCATAATCACTAAGTGTCTATGTCAGATTCAATACATGTTGACAGCTGCACTGAAGTTGGTCATATGTGTGTCTTTCCAACTGTTATGAGTACCTGTGAAGCTATTGAGGACAGTCTCTCTGCATCTAGGTATACCTAATTCCCTTTACAGTTACAGACACAGAGAAGATGTTTGGGAAGAGTTTAATGAGTCACTGGTGATTCTGTTAACTAATCCTTTTCATCCTGACTTTTCGTTCTCAGCTACATTTAAGAGTTGCCATTCACATCAAAGGCCCTTGTGTTTGGAGGCCAAGTTCTTATCTATAGCACAGTTCCCATGGCATTGGGAGCTACTCAAAAAATGGTCTTTGTTTATCTTACCACCCTATCAAGAGACAAATGTAGAAACAGGAGTATTTACAAATTTAGTTTCCCAAAATTTGATTATATGCTACAAAAATATTACCATCCATCTAACTGAGTGGAGAACAGTCTTTAGAAAAAAATTGAGAGGCTCTGGTAAAGGGGAAACAGCAAACATTAAAAGCAAATGCTTTGTGAAATTTTCTATCTTAAAGCCTTTATTCACATTGCTTCCCTCTCTGTAATTGTCCTTCAAGAAGCTACTAAAAAAGTAGCCCTCTAGGCATCCATCTAAGAACTATTTGTCACTGTTTGCAGAAATACAGTCTGCATATTTAAAAACTATTACAAAATTTAAAAGAATGATTTTTTTGTCTTAAATCTGATGATAAAAAAATTGGTCTCTCATTTTGGACTTCTTTTGAACTTCATACTTTTAAATTTCTTTTCCTTGAAATTAATTTTGGGGAAATAAGAAGGAATAATAGGGGGAATATGATCAAAGTATGTGATATGTATGTATGGAAATATAATTAAATCCTAACTAATTATTAGTCTAACTAATTTAGGCTAATAAAATTAATTTAAATAATATGTACTAATAAAATAATTTCTCCCAAAAAGAAATCGGTTTTAATTATGCTATAGAAATATGGGTCTTCAACAGACTGGGTAGAAAACAGGGTTAACAAAAAAAAAAATGAGAATTTCTGGTTTAAAAGACCTTGATTCAAGTACTACCAAGTATTTTCTTTTTCTTTCTTTTAGTGTGTGTGTGTGTGTGTGTGTGTGTGTGTGTGAGAGAGAGAGAGAGGGAGAGAGAGAGAGAGAGTGTATGTGTATGCGCACATGCATGCATGTGCTGGTACTGAGACTTGAGTTAAGGGTTGGGTGTTGTCCCTTTGCTTTTTTGCTCCAGGGTGAGACTATATCACTTGAGCCATAACCCACCTTCCAGCTTTTTGGTAGTTAATCAGAGATTAAGAGTCTTAGCACAATCCTCAAAGCTCAACCTCTTCAGTAGCTAGAATTACAGGCAGGAGCTACCAGCTGGCTGCCCATTAAACTCATGTTATAAAGCATTCCTGATGTTCTTCATGGAGATTTTAAAATTTGGAATATTCGACCTTGGCCTTCAGACCCCTCTACCTTTTGGCTTGGGGCTTGAACTCAGGGCCTGGGTGCTGTCCCTGAGCCTCTTGGTGCTCAAGGCTAGCAATCTACCATTTGAGCCACTTGAACAACTTCTAGTTTTTTCTAAGTAGTTATTGGAGATAAGAATCCTATGGATTTTCTTGCCTAGATTGGCTTTGAATCATGGTCCTCAGATTTCAGCCTTCTGAGTAGCTAGGATTACAGGTGTGAGCCACTGGTGCCCAGCTTACCTCTACCTCTATGTCTTTCTACCTCTCTCTGAAATATTACAACCTCCCTGATGAATTATGTGCTCCTAAGCACCTCACAAAAGGCACATAATTCATACATTTAACAATCATAAACTAGAAGAATAAACTGTTCATAGATAACCACCTATCCTGGAGAGAGAAAAAAGAAAAAATCAAAGAGATTATCTTTTCCTGAACTCAGGAAAAGAACTGAGAATTCAGAGTTTAGATCATACCAGATTCCAGACTTCACAGAAATTTTCAGGTAGTGATAATTCTGAATGCATGCAGAAATCCTAGCTTGATCTAATGAAACCTAATGAATTGTCAGAAACATTTAAATTTGTATCTTAAGTAACCTCAACAACCACTGAGATTTTAGTACAAGCTTAGTAGATACTCCACTGATTTATGCTGGTCTTTTAACATAAACCTCAAAACTTCTGTGATATGTGTGTACAAATCATCTTTCATGCATCAGGACTCAAATGTTTCTTATTAGTGGAGTTGGAAATAGTCCTCATTACTAAGTACACAAATAAGAATACAACATTAACTTCAGAAGTCAGCTCTAAGACCACTCACCGAAGTACTCATCAGAAGGTGGATTTTCCATGTCATACAGCATCTTTTTGGTCAGGTGTTCAAGCTCATCTTCAGGGCGGAATGATGGAGGCCCCATAGGCCCTGTGTGTCCACCCTGAAAGGCAAAATGTAATATCTCTTTAGTTATAGTCTAGACATCAACAGAAGGAGCTGTTCTTGTACAGGGGATGAAAAGGCAATGGGCTTATCCATTTGGAGACGAAGATTTTTACCAATTTTAGGGATCTGAGCTTGGACACATCTCTTGATTCATTTGCCTTATCTACATGAGTCATTTGGCAATAGCAGTCATCTATTTTGTAAAGCAATAGCTAACCAGTCACTACATATCATTTGTATATTTATTTATTTACTTTTTTGTTATTATAAAGATGAAGTACAGAGGGATTACAGAGGGATTACAATTACACAAGTAAGGTAATGAGTACATTTCCTTTTGCGCATTGTATATTAATTCATTTGTACATTTATTAGACAGATGAACAAACCAACACTTTCCTTCTTAAAAATATGTTAGTGAAGAGGAATACCTTAGGGCATGTTAATGAAGACAAAGCAAATGTAGAAAGTGAATAATTAGGTATAAAAAGGGACTTTTCACATAGACTGGGAGGAAAGTTTCCTGGAAAAGAGACACTAGAGTAGAGAAGAAACATTCAGGTAGAAGGCACTCAAACTCAGGTGAAAAAAGTCGTATCGGAGTAACAACCGACATTTATATATTTCTATCCATACATAAAAGTTAATATTAGAAATGAGACAATTTTGGGGGGTCAAAGACTCTAGAAAATTAATTGCTTTTTGTTTCAGTTAATAGAGTTGAATAGTGGTTTTAATTATATAGCATTTTTTTAAAAACTGTAGCCATACAAACAGGCATATGTCAAATAGGAATGATGTATCAGTAGCATGGCACTGAGCTGATGTTCAAATAGTGAGCAAAAGTATAATAATGTCAAGAGAATCAAAGGTCAAATACATGAAATAATCAACCATAAACCCATAGTATATAGGAAAAAAAGATGCAGGTATAAATTAGCCTTCTATTATGCACATAAACAGAATTTATTTTTTCCTTTTCCTATACTAAAACTGATCATTTCAATATCATCTCCAACACCTTGAATCAAAGAGTTCCAGAAACAGAAACATTCATTTTAAAAGTTTGGAAATGTCAATGGCGATGGCCATTAACAATGGACAGAGATGTAGATTGAGAATGCTTCTGCCAGATGTTTATGCAAAGGAGTTGTATGTCCATTCTCTATTACCTTCAGTAGTCTGAGTTATTAGAGTGAAAATCCTAGAAAAAGTTATCAGCTCTACTAGCAGCAGTTACCACAACAACTCCAAAATGGGTATTAATTGTCTGTTGTCTAGGACATGAAATGCTTTCTCAGCATAGATAATGATGTTCACAGGTAGCCCTTTGGCCTTTTCTTTAAATTTTCCATGTTTCCATTTCCTCAAATGTACATGGACTTGAACTACAAACATGCAGAAAGCTGAAAGGGTCAAGAAATCTTCATGTCAGTCATTAACATTACCCTAAGATTTTACTTCACTGTTCTAACATTTGTATTAGATATTAGAATCTATGCCAGGTGTCATACAAAATAGTTGTATGATCTCCAGAATTATTACATTGATTGATTGTGAGATTAAGTAAAACTGAAACCTAAAAATATCTGGACAAGATTAGTTACAGTAAAGTCAAGGCAAGGGCTCATGTTATACTCATTCATTTATCCTAAAAAACACTCCATGTTAAGCTGAAAGCATCTTCTGAACTGCAAACATTGCTTTGCCCTATTAAGAATAATTGGTGTGTAGGTTAGAAACTATTAAATCATGTACTTATCATTTTGTTTAGTAGTTTATCCACTCATTCTTAAAGGGTTTATTTTATACATCTTCTCCAAGAAGTTAGGAAGGGTCAAAGACTTAATTAGGCACCATATTTGCATTTGGGAAGACTGGATTCAAATGGGAATTAGAAACTGCAATGAGGACTTTCAGAAAAGGAATGATCTAATCTGATTTGGAAAGTTCTCACTGGAATGCAGGGTGAATGGGAGAGCGATGAGGCTGTAATGAGATGGAGATTTGTGGCCAAAGACAATAAAAGGCTATAATAGGAGCTAGCATCTTTACAACTGCAGATAGGGATTTAACTATGACACTCACTTGGACTTTAAAGTTAAACTTGTCAAACAGTTATAATTTCAATGTCTCTTCTGTCCAATGGACAAGTCAAAGCACTTCACAGTCTTATGAGAATTGGTAAGATAACATGTATCTCCTGCTATATCGATCATGAACTACTTTCAGACAATGGTTAGGAAGGGCCTGCTTTGAAGCTCCCAACCTGCATGTGAAGGTAGGCATTATCTGCTGTATGTTTCCTCCAGGCTCACAATAAAAGAACTTAACCGAATATGTTGTCATGTGAATCCAAATTCTATGCCTTGTCCCAACCCAATAATACTTTCCAAAAGTATATAACAACGGTGCTAGCTGCTTTAATTAAGTCAGTAGCTATTAAGCAACAAGAGATAATTCCTCCTTCTAGACAAAGGGTGAACTCATAGGGAAAAGTACACTACTATATGTCTAAGAGTGATATGTACCTGATTCTCTTTGTATATAAAGAAAGGTAGCAAGGAGACTGAATCTATCCTCTGTAAATTGAAGCCAGAAATTCAAAGTCAGTCCTTCGCACTTACATTTCATGATACTTAGACAAGAGAGTCCTGTATAATATGCAATCCTGATCCTGTAATATGGATGAAGAAACTATGACTCAAGAAGGTAAGTGAGCAACTCTGTATGAAGGATAATAATGTATTAATGCAAAACAAAGAAATTGTGATACATATACACAAAGTCTTTTGGCTTTCCTAAGGGGAAAAATGTATTTTTAAGTATAACTATCAATAATTAAAGGCAAACATTATATGATCTATATGTGACTTATCAAAGGACTCCAAAATTTGCTTAATATATTCTTCCTAAGAGATTGCCAAGTGCCAAGAACTATAAATATCAAGTCAAATACCAACTTTTAAATATCATTAGGAATTTCTGCCTCTGATAACTTATAGTTCAGGGGAGAAAAGACATGAAAATAGACAATTACAAAATGGTATAAGCAGTAAGGTCCAAAAAACCATGCTCTGAGTTGAGATTGCTAGAAAGAGATGACTTTAATTTGAGGTCATAATTAGATTTTCTTTGTCATTACTTGTTTCTCGCTCGAGGGCCTGATGATGGTCAGGAAAGGGAAGGCTTTGTACCATGCAAAGTTTTTAGCCTCCCCATGGGAATAAGGTCCTTGGTAAGTAAGGAAGGCAATAGTGAAGACTTATTTTCACAAGGGACATAGGCACAGGAAAATTTTACCCATTTCAGCAAGAACACCAGTACCAATAGTCATCATATTTCTATAACACTTCACAACATTTGAAGTGTTTTACATTTTCTTACATAGGATATAAGTGCTTTGCATATTATCACATGCTTACAGAAGACCTAACTGTTTAGAACATCTTTTTGTCTGTTATGGGCTTGAACTCAGGGCTTGGGTGCTGTCCCTGAGCTCTTTTGCTCAATATTGGCACTCTATCACTTTGAGCCACAGCTCCACTTCCGGTCTTCTGGTGACTAACTGGAGATAAGAGTTTCATGGACTTTTCTGCCTGGCCTGGCACAGAATCGTGATCTCAGATCTCAGCTTCCTAAGTAGCTAGGATTACAGGCATAAACCACCAGCACCTGGATCACACATCTTTTTTGTTGTTGTTGTTGTTATCATTAAGTAGTTGTATAAAGGGGTTACCATTCAACCAAGCAGCTATGACTACACATCTTTAATTTGCTTCTGTCTTTAACTGGCCCAAGGACTTTGGCCAAATCTTCCCCATTTCCTGGCCTCAGTTCTTCATGTGTAAAATAATCTTTTTTTTTTTTTTTCAAAGATGGCCTTGATTCTACTGTATCATATTTTTTGTACTGCTACTATGCAGAGCTCATCATTACTGATCTTTGGTGTTCAATCAAAGATATCTATATTTACAGAGACTTTGTAGTCTATAAAAACAGACTCACATTGAGTAAGTGGAAACCTCATTATTACAGAGATTTCCACTTATAAGAGGAGGCAAACCACTTGTCAGCATCGTCTAGAAACATCCAGAACTCCATTCAGCACTCTTCATCTGAGTAAGCAGTGGACAGTTCACAGGGCTTCTGCAGCACATTGAACTTTCACTACACTTCAGTTACGAAATCAAAAATGTAGAAAGCCTGGGTGCAGGTGGCTCACGGCTCTAATCCTAGCTACACAGGAAGCTGAGATCTAAGGATTGTTGTTGGAAGCCAGCCGGGGCAGGAAAGTCCATGAGACTTCTTAATTCCAATTAATCAGCAAAAAAGTGGAGAGTGCTGGCCTTGACTGACAAAGGGACAAAACCCAGGCCCTAAGTTCAAGCTCCAAAACTGGTTCAAAAAAATGTAGAAAAGTTAACTATCCTCCCATCCCTCTTCCCTGGCTGGAAGGAAGAAAGACTCAATCATCCTTCTCTCAGGAAAACACCTTACTACCTAGAATCTCTGTCCTTAACATCCATTGCTAAGGAGCAATGTTATAAAAAGGATACCCAATGTCTGTCACCATGTCCTTCTCCAGTTACTCAGACAGAGACCTTATAGTGGGTCACTTTTCTCCCATGTTAAATAACTTGAATTTAGCACATATCTGAATCTTACAAGAAAAGTGTTACCCAGGCAGATAAAACATCAGGAAACAGCAGCCAAAATATTCAGAAAGATTACATGATAATGAATACTCTATCACTCCGGGTACCCGAGATGCTCATTTTTCTTGTCCATTTGTAATGATGTACACGAGGTTCCTTCTCTGAGAGGGAAAATGACTTCAATTATGTGTTCTTGAAAAAAAGAAACATTGAAATTATCTTCTTTTCAAAAGGTAGAATTAGCCCCATTTTAGAGCTGAAAGCCTGCCAGAAAAAAATATATATTTTTTGATATTTTCATTCTGTTCCCTCTCCCCGTTTAGCTGTGTCAAGCTCA